ATTTGAAAAACAACAAAATGAGTCCACAGCAAAGTTGTTGTTGTTGTTGTTATTATTTGAAACACAACAACAAAATGAGTCCACAGCAGACAAGTTGTTGTTATTATTATTATTATTATTATTATTATTATTTGAAACACAACAAAGAGTCCACAGCAGACAAGTTGTTGTTGTTGTTGTTGTTGTTGTTGCTGCTGCTATTATTATTATTATTATTTTATTATTTGAAACACAACAAGATGAGTCCACAGCAGACAAGTTGTTGTTATTATTATTATTATTATTATTTGAAACACAACAAAATGAGTCCACAGCAGACAAGTTGTTGTTGTTGTTGTTGTTGTTGTTATCATTATTATTATTAGAAACACAACAAAATGAGTTCACAGCAGACAAGTTGCTGTTATTATTATTATTATTATTATTATTATTATTATTATTAGAAACACAACAAAATGAGTCCACAGCAGACACCAGTTGTTGTTGTTGTTGTTATTTGAAAAACAACAAAATGAGTCCACAGCAAAGTTGTTGTTGTTGTTGTTATTATTTGAAACACAACAACAAAATGAGTCCACAGCAGACAAGTTGTTGTTATTATTATTATTATTATTATTATTATTATTTGAAACACAACAAGATGAATCCACAGCAGACAAGTTGTTGTTGTTGTTGTTGTTGTCAGAAACACAGCAAAATGAGTCCACAGCAGACAAGTTGTTGTTGTTGTTGTTGTTATTATTATTATTATTAGAAACACAACAAAATGAGTCCACAGCAGACAAGTTGCTGTTGTTGTTGTTGTTGTTATTTGAAACACAACAAAATGAGTCCACAGCAGACAAGTTGTTGTTGTTGTTGTTGCTGCTATTATTATTATTATTATTATTATTATTATTATTATTATTATTATTTGAAACACAACAAGATGAGTCCACAGCAGACAAGTTGTTGTTGTTGTTATTATTATTATTTGTAACACAACAAGATGAGTCCACAGCAAACAGGATCACTCTGCTGGCTGTTATATTGGATCACGTGTCGGACACTTCCTAAGTGTTATTGTATTGGCGAATAATGTGTGCAGATCCCAGTAAGGTGGCCTTCTGCAGCTGGCAGATGGTAATTTTGTCAGCGCGATTGTGTTTAAGTGCAGGCCAAGGTCTTTAGGCACTGCACCCAGTGTACAGATCACCACTGAGACCACCTTTACTGGCTTGTGCCAGAACCTTTGCAGTTCTCTGGCACAATTATTATTATTATGTTTATTATGTTTATTATGTTTATTTATATGCCATTTTTTCTCTCCATTTGGAGACTCAAACAACTAGTGCCCCTTTTTTATTGCTTCAGGAAGACATGCAGCAACTGGAGATGACAACTGGAGGAGTGGCAAGGCATGAACTTTCTGGCTTCCATCAGCCACGGATGGTTGCCCACTGATGACTCAGGCCACTGGGTGCTTGGAAGGCACTTACCTGACATGCTGGAAATACTCCTTGGTGTGGTTCCGATAGAAGACCGAAAAGCGGAGCATCCTTCCTGCAATGAGTTCGGCTTTCTCCTGCAGCTGGGCCAAATGCTCCTTCGCGTAGTCTGTGTGGGGACAACGGGCAACAAGGTTTGACATGCTTTGTATTGTCGAAGGCTTTCATGGCCGGAATCACTGGGTTGTTGTAGGTTTTTTGGGCTATATGGCCATGTTCTAGAGGCATTCTCTCCTGACGTTTCGCCTGCATCTATGGCAAGCATCCTCGGAGGTAGTGAGGTCTGTTAGAACTAGGAAAAAGGGTTTATCTATCTGTGGAATGACCAGGGTGGGACAAAGGACTCTTGTATGTTGGAGCTAGGTGGGAATGGAGCTAGGTGTGAATGCTGGACCACTCTCACAACCACCATGTCAGATTACACAGAGAAGCCATTGAAATCCACAAGCATGTGGACAATTTCAACAGAAAGGAGGAAACCATGAAAATGAACAAAATCTGGCTACCAGTATTAAAAACTCTAAAATTACAACAGCACAACAAAAGAGAGGAAACAAACAAGGACATCTAATCACCTCTCAACAAAAGTTTGCTCCAGGCACTGTCAGGCCATTATATGCTAATCAAGGTGGTCAGTTGAAACATTCACACCTAGCTCCAGCAGACAAGAGTCCTTTGTCCCACCCTGGTCTTTCCACAGATATATAAACCAATTTTCCTAGTTCCAACAGACCTCACTACCTCTGAGGATGCTTGCCATAGATGCAGGCGAAACGTCAGGAGAGAATGCCTCTAGAACATGGCCATATAGCCTGAAAAAACCTACAACAACCCATTTGACATGCTTTTCTCCCATCTTGGAGGGTCAACCCCTTGGACGCCTGCTTCCCCGGCTCCTTCTTCCCACTCCACCCGGCATCCCTTCCCTTTTGCCTCCGGGCCGTTCTCCCTTCCTGTCACCTCCCATCTGGGTCGACACACCCTTGGCCTCCAACTTGGCAACTCTTGCTCCATCGTGAAATCTGGATTTACTGCCTTTCAGCACCTCTCCGCTTGTTCCCATCAGCTCAGGCCCAACCTTCCAAGCCAGCCCAAACAAGTGGTTTTTGGGTTTTTTTTTCCCTCTGCTTTGCTCCTGAACTTCAAAAACATCCACACGCTTCCTTTCACTGCCGTGCAGTTTGTGGACTTCTCAGGGCCCGTCCAGACAGTACCTTTATTGCACCAAACAGGAGGGTGGCCAGAAGCCATTCCCTGTAAACGTGGAAGCAATCACTACAAAAGGCAAAAAATGTGAGATTTCCAGGTGTGGGAATATCCCGGTTCTGAGCCGAATATGTGGATCTTCGCATGTCTGTATGTCCCTGCAATTGGAAATCATGGGATTTTTTAATATGGGCTTATTCCTGGGGTTATAATCTCTTGACCCACCGCCTTGCTGTTGCTGGAGTCAGGGGGAGAGCTTTAAACTGGCTCCCCTCCTTTCTTCACAACCGTGGAGAGCGAGTGGAGAGGGGAGGCCTGGTCTCCGAGAGGTCCCCCCCCTCTCTCTCTCTTGTGGGGTTCCTCCTCAGGGGGCCATTCTCTCCCCTCTCTTGTTTAACATCTATATGCGACCACTTGCTCAGCTGGTTCGAGGTTTTGGGCTGGAGTGTGACCAGTACGCCGATGACACTCAGCTGGTGCTGAAGATGGAAGGCCGACCGGACTCTGGACCCGATTCCTTCCATCAGTGCCTCGAGGCCGTGACTGGATGGCTGCGTGCCAGCAGGTTGAGGGTGAATCCAGCAAAGACGGAGATCCTATGGCTGGGTCAACCGGGCAGTGGGGACATCCAGCTGCCCACCCTGGATGGCGAGGAGGCACTACGCCCGTCACCGTTGGTCAAGAGTCTGGGAGTCCTTTTGGACCCTCTGCTGAGGATGGAGGCCCAGGTCTCTCTCCGCCGTGAGCAGAACCGCCTTCTTTCTTTCCCCTGCGGCAGGCTAGACGGCTGGCCCCCTCCCTGTCCAGGGATGACCTGGCTACGGTGATCCAGGCCACGGTCATCTCAAGGCTGGACTACTGTAACGCTCTCTACATTGGCCTTCCTCTGTCGGTGATCCGGAAGCTAAAGTTGGTACAAAACACAGCTGCTCGGCTTCTTGTGGGAACTCCAATGAGATGCCACATCACCCCAATCTTACTACAGCTGCATTGGTTACCCATTGAGCACCGGATCACTTTCAAAGGGATGGTACTCACCTTGAAGGCCTTGCATGGTCTGGGGCCGATGTACCTGAGGGACCGCCTCACCTCCTCCCAACCCCAGAGATCCCTCCGTTCTGAGGACCAAGATCTATTGGAAGTCCCCAGTGTCAAGACCTTGCGTCTAACAGCAACCAGATGCAGAGCCTTCACAGCAGTGGCACCATCACTCTGGAATACTCTGCCACCTGAAGTCCGTGCCTTGCAGGACTTATAAGCTTTCCGCAGGGCATGTAAGACATATCTGTTTCGACAGGCCTTTGATCTTTGATATTGCCGTTTTTAAATTGTTTTAAATTGTTTTAAAATTGTGTTAAATTTTAGCCTGTTCTTGTAAGCCGCTCCGAGCCCCAGGGGAGTGGCGGCATATAAGTTCAAATAATAATAATAATAATAAATAATAAATAATAATAATAATAAAAAGAAGGTGACCCTTGAGTAGAAGGGAAAAACTTTGTTTGTGTGCCAGAGACTTCATGAAACATGTGGAGGGCATATTTTCTCTGGCCAGCACAAAGTTGCACCCCCCCCCCCTAGTCAATGTTGTATATCTTTTGGCAGAAGTCTTATAGGGCAATGGAAAAGTTCCATCCCTTTAGACCAGTGTTTCTCAACCTGGGGGTCGGGACCCCTAGAGGGGTCGCAAGGGGGTGTCAGAGGGGTCGCCAAAGACCATCACAGACAGTATTTTCTGTTGGTCATGGGAGTTCTGTGTGGGAAGTTTGGCCTAATTCTATCGTTGGTGGGCTTCAGAATGCTCTTTGGTAGTAGGTGAACTATAAATCCCAGCAACTACAACTCCCAAATGTCAAGGTCTATTTTCCCCGAACTTCACCAGTGATCACATTTAGGCATATTGAATATGTGTGCCAGGTTTGATCCAGATCCATCATTGTTTGAGTCCACAGTGCTCTCTGGATGTAGGTGAACTACAACTCTAAAACCCAAGGTCAATGCCCACCAAACCCTTCCAGTATTTTCTGTTGGTCATGGGAGTTCTGTGTGGGAAGTTTGGTCTAATTCTATCATTGGTGGGCTTCAGAATGCTCTTTGGTTGTAGGTGAACTATAAATCCCAGCAACTACAACTCCCAAATGTCAAGGTCTATTTTCCCTGAACTTCACCAGTGTTCACATTTGGGCATATTGAATATTCGTGCCAAGTTTGATCCAGATCCATCATTGTTTGAGTCCACAGTGCTCTCTGGATGTAGGTGAACTACAACTCTAAAACCCAAGGTCAATGCCCACCAAACCCTTCCAGTATTTTCTGTTGGTCATGGGAGTTCTGTGTGGGAAGTTTGGCCTAATTCTATCGTTGGTGGGCTTCAGAATGCTCTTTGGTAGTAGGTGAACTATAAATCCCAGCAACTACAACTCCCAAATGTCAAGGTCTATTTTCCCCGAACTTCACCAGTGATCACATTTAGGCATATTGAATATGTGTGCCAGGTTTGATCCAGATCCATCATTGTTTGAGTCCACAGTGCTCTCTGGATGTAGGTGAACTACAACTCTAAAACCCAAGGTCAATGCCCACCAAACCCTTCCAGTATTTTCTGTTGGTCATGGGAGTTCTGTGTGGGAAGTTCGGTCTAATTCTATCGTTGGTGGGCTTCAGAATGCTCTTTGGTAGTAGGTGAACTATAAATCCCAGCAACTACAACTCCCAAATGTCAAGATTCTATTTTCCCCAAACTCCACCAGTGTTCACATGTGGGCATACTGAGTATTCGTGTCAAGTTTGGTCCAGATCCATCATTGTTTGAGTCCACAGTGCTCTCTGGATGTAGGTGAACTACAACTCCAAAACTCAAGGTCAATGCCCACCAAACCCTTCCAGTATTTTCTGTTGGTCATGGGAGTTCTGTCTGCCAAGTTTGGTTCAATTCCATCATTGGTGGAGTTCAGAATACTTTGATTGTAGGTGAACTCCAGCAACTACAACTCCTAAATAACAAAATCAATTCCCTCCCAACACCACCAGTATTCAAATTTGGGCATATTGGGTATTTGTGCCAAATTTGGTCCAGTGAATGAAATCAGATATTTACATAACAATTCATAATATTAGCAAAATGACAGTTATGAAGTAACAACAAAAATAATTTTACAGGAATGGTCATGTATAACCCAGGAACAGCACCCTGTTGTTTGATGCCACAAGTACACAACCAAATCTGTCTGGACAGATGGCCAGGCAGCCAGGCTCTAAAAAGTGTCAATAATGACAAAGTTCTGTTCCTGGCTTGAAAGTGTGTGTTTCTGTTTGATTGTGCAGTGCTGACTTGGGCAGAAGTGGTCCTACCCCGTAAACTTTGTTTGTGTGGCAGATACTTCTTGTTGTTATTGTTACTGTTTATTGTTTACTTTTGTTTATGAGATTTATTTTAACTGTTGTATTGATTGTTTTTTTGCTTTTACTGTTGATGTACTTTGGGCTCGGCCTCATGTAAGCCGCACCGAGTCCCTTGGGGAGATGGTAGAGGGGTATAAATAAAGTATTATTATTATTATTATTATTATTATTATTATTAGAGGCCATTACCGCTCAAGCAGGGAGCTTTGAGATGGTTGAACAGAAGCTCTCCAAAGCTCTAGGTGCCCTTACTGCCTATTACAGGGAAAACCAGCTGATCCCTAATCCATCTAAAACACAGACATGTGCCTTTCATCTCAAGAACAGAGAAGCATCCCGAGCTCGAGGATTATTACCTGGGAAGGAAGGAATCCCATTGGAGCATTGCAGCGCACCCAAATACCTGGGAGGAGTCACTCTGGACCGTGCTCTGACCTACAAGAAGCACTGCCTGAACATCAAGCAAAAAGTGGGCGCTAGAAACAACATCATACGAAAGCTGACTGGCACAACCTGGGGATCACAACCAGACACAGTGAAGACATCTGCCCTTGCGCTATGCTACTCTGCTGCTGAGTACGCATGCCCGGTGTGGAACACATCTCACCACACTAAAACAGTGGATGTGGCTCTTAATGAGACATGCCGCATTATCACGGGGTGTCTGCGCCCTACACCACTGGAGAAATTACACTGTTTAGCCGGTATTGCACCACCTGACATCCGCCGGGAAGTAGCAGCCAATAGTGAAAGGACCAAGGCAGAGACATCTCCAGCTCATCCCCTGTTTGGGTATCAGCCAGCACGTCAACAACTTAAATCTAGAAATAGTTTTCTAAGATCTACAGAGACACTCGCTGGAACACCCCAGCAAGCGAGAGTCCAAAAGTGGCAGGTTCAAACCCAGAACCTCAACCAATGGCTGATACCAAAGGAGAGACTCCCCCCTGGGCACACAGAGGACTGGGCAACTTGGAAGGCGCTGAACAGACTGCGCTCTGGCACCACGAGATGTAGAGCCAACCTCAAGAAATGGGGCCACAAAGTGGAGTCCACGACATGCGAATGTGGAGAAGAGCAAACCACTGACCACCTGCTGCAATGCAACCTGAGCCCTGCCACATGCACAATGGAGGACCTTCTTACGGCAACACCAGAGGCACTCCATGGGGCCAGATACTGGTCAAAGGACATTTAATCCACTACCAAACTCGCAAATTCTGTGTTTTGTCTGTTTGTTTGTTTGTTTTTGTTAAAAATGTAATACAAATGTCTGGTTGCTGATGACACGATAAATAAATTATTATTATTATTATTATTATTATTATTATTATTATTATTATTAGATACTTCCTGAAACGTCAGGAGGGCACAGTTTCTGTAGCCAGGACAAACAGAACTTTTGCAGTGATTTGCATATCTGAATCTCCGCATATTCACATATTGAGGGTTTTAAAAAAAAGTTCCCAGCGGAAATCCTGCAGCGGGCATCTTGGGAGCCTCTAAACTTGGCCACAAAGCCTCAAAATGGACAACAAAGGCAGAAATCCCAGGGCCAACAGGTCCGTATGTGGACCTCTTCTGAAGTCCCGGGATTTTTTTTGCCCCAGATTAAAACCCGTGCTTTGGTGCTGTCTGGAAGCGCCCCAGGCGATTTTTATAGAAAGTAAAACCATGGGGGAAGCAATAGGAAAGCATAGGCAGGTATGGCTCTTCAGACATCACAGGGCTTGCCAATGGGTAGAACTGGCTTCTACTTACATGGGACATCAAATCTACAATACTCAGTTCTTGTGGGTTTTTTCGGGCTATATGGCCATGTTCTAGAGGCATTTCTCCTGACGTTTCGCCTGCATCTATGGCAAGCATCCTCAGAGGTGAGGTCTGCTGGAACTGGGAAAAAAGGGGTTTATATATCTGGGGAATGACCAGGGTGAGACAAAGGGCTTTTGTAAGTTGGGCTAGGTGTGAATCTTTCAACTGACCACCTTGATTAGCATACAATGGGCTGACTGTGCCTGGAGCAAACTCTTCTTGAAAGGTAATTAGATGTCCCTGCCTGTTTCCTCTCTGCTGTTTTTGCTGTTGCAATTTTAGAGTTTTTTAATACTGGTAGCCAGATTTTGTTCATTTTCATGGTCTCTTCCTTTCTGTTGAAATTGTCCACATGCTTGTGGATTTCAATGGCTTCTCTGTGTAGTCTGACATGGTGGTTGTGAGAGTGGTCCAGCATTTCTGTGTTCTCAAATAATATGCTGTGTCCAGGTTGGTTCCTCAGGTGCTCTGCTATGGCTGATTTCTCTGGTTGAAGTTAGCTATGACTGGGCTATGGGGAGCCCTCTCAGCCCAGTCATAGCTAACTTCTACATGGAACACTTTGAAGAACAAGCCCTGGAGACAGCAACCAAAAAGCCCACGATATGGTTCAGATATGTGGATGACACCTTCACCATTTGGAGCCATGGAGAAGAAGAACTCAACAGGTTCCTGGACCATCTTAACAGCATCCACCCAAACATCCAGTTCACGATGGAAAAAGAAAATGAAGGAAGACTGCCTTTTCTAGATGTCCTAGTCATCCGCAAACCAGATCAACAATTGGGTCACACCGTCTACAGAAAACCCACACACACAGATAGATATCTACATAAAAACTCCAACCATCACCCAAGTCAAAAAAGAAGCCCCATTAAAGCCTTGGCAGACCGTGCAAAAAGAATCTGCGAAGCCCACCTCCTCCAAGATGGACTGAACCACCTCAACTGGGCTCTCCAGGCCAATGGAGACTCCACCTCAGACATCAGAAGAGCTGCAAGACAACTGAGAAGAAGCCACGAGAGTCAAGATGAAGATCCACCCAGAGGGAAAGTGTTCCTGCCATACATCAAGGGAACCACTGACCGCATAGGGAAGCTGATGAGGAAACACAAACTATCTACAGACCCACCAAGAAAATCCAACAAATGCTCCGTTCAGCAAAGGACAAGAGGGATCTTCTCACCTCTGCAGGAGTCTACCGTGTACCATGCAGCTGTGGACAAGTCTCCAGAGGGACCACCAAACGCAGCAATGCCCAAACAAGAATCAAGGAACATGAAAGGCACTGCAGACTCCTTCAACCAGAGAAGTCAGCCATAGCAGAGCACCTGATAAACCTGGACACAGCATATTATTTGAGAACACAGAAATGCTGGACCACACCAACAACCACCATGTCAGACTACACAGAGAAGCCACTGAAATCCACAAACATGTGGACAATTTCAACAGAAAGGAAGAAACCATGAAAATGAACAAAATCTGGCTACCAGTATTAAAAAATTCTAAAATTGTAACAGCAAAAACAGCAGAGAGAAAAACAGGCAGGGACATCTAATCACCTTTCAAGAAGAGTTTGCTCCAGGCACAGTCAGCCCATTGTATGCTAATCAAGGTGGTCAGTTGAAAGATTCACACCCAGCCCAACTTACAAAAGCCCTTTGTCTCACCCTGGTCATTCCACAGATATATAAACCTCTTTTTTCCCATTTCCAGCAGACCTCACCTCTGAGGATGCTTGCCATAGATGCAGGCGAAACGTCAGGAGAAATGCCTCTAGAACATGGCCATATAGCCCGAAAAAACCCACAAGAACTGAGTGATTCCAGCCATGAAAGCCTTCGACAATAAATCTACAATACTTTGCCTCAATGTAAAGGAGATCACGAGCTATAGCCTTCTACTAAACGCTTACCACCAGTGCAGAATTCGACTGTCTCGCTCCATCCAGATACAAGATATTCCCCATCGCTCTGCTTGATGGCTGTCTGCACTGCCACACTGTACTCCGTCCTGGGACTCAGGAACCAATGGCCCCTCACCGTCATGGGCAGGGCAACTGCCTTGGCCACCAACTTGGTAGGGACATCCTGTGCAAAGGAAAAAACACAAGCGGTCATCAGGCATCCAACTGGAACTTGGGATGCAGGACTGGTCTGCCAAGGCTATGGTTAGCTGTGAGGTGGCACTTCGGAGAGACTTGGCCACACTGGTACCAGACTGCTAGTGACAAATGATAGCCACCCATTCGTATATGAGAGAGGAAATGCTTGGCTTGGTGAATTCAGTGAAAACCTAGTCTTCCTGCTATTTATTTATTATTTATTTGGTATTCCGCAAAAAAGTGAAGACCTGGCTGTTTGAGCAGGCGTTCGAATAATTAGTGCAATGATTGGTTAATGAACACTGGAATGGAACAATGGATGACGAATCTGGAACATGTTTTTGATGACGAGACGACAGTGAATGGGTCGTGTAATGTGTAATGTGTTAGGTTGTTAACTGTTTCTATACTGTAGCACTGAATTTTTGCTGTTCGTATTTGTTGTGAACCGCTGTGAGTCGCCTTCGGGCTGAGAACAGCGGTATATAAGTAAGGTAAATAAATAAATAAATAAATAAATAATAAAATTATTTATCGTGTCAGGAGCAACCAGACATTTGTATTACATTTTAAACAAAGCAAACAAACAAACAGACAAAACACAAAGTTTGCAAGTTTGGTAGTTGATTAAATGTCCTTTGACCAGTATCTGGCCCCTTGGAGTGCCTCTGGTGTTGACGTAAGAAGGTCCTCCCTTGTGCATCATGTGGCAGGGCTCAGGTTGCATTGCAGCAGGTGGTCAGTGGTTTGCTCTTCTCCACACTCGCATGTCAAGGATTCCACTTTGTAGCCCCATTTCTGAAGTTGGCTCTGCATCTCGTGGTGCCAGAGCGCAGTCTGTTCAGTGCCTTCCAGTTGCCCAGTCTTCTGTGTGCCCAGGGGGGAGTCTCTCATTTGGTATCAGCCATTGGTTGAGGTTCTGGGTGTGAGCCTGCCACTTTTGGACTCTCGCTTGCTGAGGTGTTCCAGCGAGTGTCTCTGTAGATCTTAGAAAACTATGTCTTGATTTAAGTCGTTGACGTGCTGGCTGATACCCAAACAGAGGATGAGCTGGAGATGTCTCTGCCTTGGTCCTTTCACTATTGGCTGCTACTTCCCGGCGGATGTCAGGTGGTGCAATACCGGCTAAGCAGTGTAATTTCTCCAGTGGTGTAGGGCGCAGACACCCCGTGATAATGCGGCATGTCTCATTAAGAGCCACATCCACTGTTTTAGTGTGGTGAGATGTGTTCCACACTGGGCATGCATACTCAGCAGCAGAGTAGCACAGCGCAAGGGCATATGTCTTCACTGTGTCTGGTTGTGATCCCCAGGTTGTGCCAGTCAGCTTTTGTATGATATTGTTTCTAGCTCCCACTTTTTGCTTCTTGTAGGTCAGAGCATGGTCCAGAGTAACTCCCAGGTATTTGGGTGCGCTGCAATGCTCCCGTGGGATTCCTTCCTTCCCAGGTAATAATCCTCAGAGCTCGGGATGCTTCTCTGTTCTTGAGATGAAAGGCACATGTTTGTGTTTTAGATGGATTAGGGATCAGCTGGTTTTCCCTGAGAGTTATGAAGTAGCAACAAAAATAATGTTATGGTTGGGGGTCGGCACAACATGAGGAACTGTGTTAAGGGGTCGCGGCATTAGGAAGGTTGAGAAACACTGGTCTACGGTGTCCTTCTTGTACTATACCACTATACTGTAATATTATTAGTAATATTACATGTAATATACATATAAATATAATACGTCCAATAAAAGCCAAGAGCCAGAATTATTTTTTAAAAATGGTTAAATCAAGGTTTGGTTTTGGGATTTCACACACACACAAACATTCCAGTGTGTATGTTTATCCCTGGGTGCCGAATCTGTGGAAATAGAGGGTGAACTGAAGTCTCTTCCAGCCAGTTAAAAGATTTAGACATTGTACCTATACTTTCACGTCGATGTTTGTTTATTAGGAGGTGTAAAAGTATATTTCTTTCCTGCGAAGCTTTCCAAAGCATTGGAGTGTGCCAGCTCTCCAGGCGATGCGTCAATGCCTTGTTTACAGCTCCAAAAAGCTGCCTTCCCCTGTGATCTATCAAGAGCGCACCTATTTTCATCTGACGACTCTTGGCAGGCTTTTTACTGACAGTGTTCGCAGATGGCGAGCGCTGTTGGAAATTAGAAGCGCGGCGAAGTACATCCTTCATTAAAAGCAGCACTTGGATACTGTGGAATGTTGCAGTATTTATGGCTATCAGCAATTATTGATGAGCGAAATAGTATGTCTTTGTGAAATAGGGAAGCGTTTTATGGGCAACAGCACGATTTGGCAAAAAGTAAATACGTTGCTATTTACACTTCCAAAACTCAGGTTTCCTGGCATCCTAAAGGATTTATGCTCTCTTGTGTCTACACTAGGTAAACTTGGTTTTCAGTGATGTTGCAAACATGTATCTAGAAGTGCATCTACACTGCAGAATTAATAATAATAATAATAATAATAATAATAATAATAATAATAACCCTTTATTTGTACCCGGCTACCATCTCCCCAAGGGACTCGGTGCGGCTTACATGAGGCCGACCCCAAATACAGCAATACAAGCAATAACAACAACAATACAAGCAATTAAAATAAAAACATGGACAATAAAATAATACCACACGATTACAACTGTGGGAAGGCCAAATGTAAAATTAAAATTGGAAGTAATGCTGGAACATGGGTGAAAAAAGTGATGGGGCGTTTGTGGAAAACATTCAAGCAGACATAAAAAGTGCTTTGGAGGACAAAGTGCTATGGAATCATTATTCTGGGAAGGCACACTGGAACAACCATGTCTTCAAGCTCCTTCTAAAGACTGCCAGAGTTGGGGCATGTCTGATGTCCTTAGGGAGTGAATTCCAGAGTCGAGGGGCCACCACCGAAAAAGCCCTCTCTCTCGTCCCCACCAATTGTGCTTGCGATGCAGGTGGGATCACGAGCAGGGCCTCTCCAGATGATTGAAGAGATCATGTGGGTTTGTATACAGAGATGCGGTCACGCAGGTAGGCGGGTCCCAAACCGTTCAGGGCTTTGTAGGTAAGAACTTGCACCTTGAACTTAAGAACCTTCAGAAATGGGGCTACAAAGTGGAATCCTCGACATGCGAGTGCGGAGAGGAGCAAACCACTGACCACCTGCTGCAATGCACCCTGAGCCCTGCCACATGCACAATGGAGGACCTTCTTGCAGCAACACCAGAAGCACTCCAAGTGGCCAGATACTGGTCAAAGGACATTTAATCAACTACCAAACTCACACATTTTGTATTTTGTCTGTTTGTTTGCTTTGTTCTGTTAGAAATGTAATATAATTGACTGGCTGCCCTGACATGAGAAATAAAATAAATAAATAAGGTAAGAACCTGCACCTTGAATTGGGACCGGAAAATGAACGGCAGCCAATAGAGCTCCTTGAACAGGAGGGTTGACCGCTCCCTGTAAGGAGCACCAGTTAACAACCTGGCCACCGCCCGTTGAACCAATTGAAATTTCCAGGCCGTTTTCAAGGGCAGCCCCACGTAGAGTGCATTACAGTAATCCAGTCTACAGGTGATTAAGGCATGGACCACCCTGGCCAGATCTGCCTTCCCGAGGTACGGTCGCAGTTGGCGCACGAGTCTTAATTGAGTAAAGGCCCTCCCGGCCACCGCCAACGCCTGAGCCTCAAGCGTAAGTGATGAGTCCAGGAGGACACCCAAACTGCGGACCTGTGACTTCAGGGGGAGTGCAACCCCGTCCAGCACAGGTTGCCACCCTATACCCCGGTCTGGTTTACGATCGACCAGGAGGACCTCTGTCTTGTCGGGATTAATCTTCAGCTTGTTCGTCCTCATCCAGACAGCCACAGCGGTCAGGCACTCGTCTAGCACTCGAGGGGCTTCCTTGGAGTTAGGTGGAAAAGAGTAGTAGAGTTGTGTGTCATCTGCATAGAGATGGCACCCAACTCCAAAACTCCGGATGACCTCTCCCAGCGGTTTCATGTAGATGTTAAAAAGCATGGGAGACAGAATGGAGCCTTGCGGGACCCCACAGGTCAAAGGCCAGGGGTCCGAGCAGGCGTCTCCCAGCTTCACCATCTGGGATCGACCCTCCAGGAAGGACCGGAACCATGCCCCCAAGGCCCATCCCAGAGAGTTGTCCCAGAAGGATACCATGAATTAATGCAGTTGACACCACTTTAACCACTATGGATCAATCCGATGGAGTTGAGAGGCTTCCTGGATATTATGTGGATATGCAGAACTGTGGATAATAGCATAGAGTCGAGTTCAAGCACCTATAAAATGCCATATTTTGTTGGGTGTGGATAAAGAAAACCACGGATAATGGTCTTGTGGATATGGAGAAATGATACTGTAAAACAGGGGAAAGGGTTAATGCTTCATGCTTCTACATTTTTGAGAAATCCATGGCATTCTTGGGAGAAGGAACTCTTGTCTGCTCAAGGTCGATGTGAATGCATCAACTGGCCATCTTAAATGGCCCAGCAGTTTCAAAGACTGGCTTCTTACTGCCCAGGGAAATCCTTTGTTGAAAGGTGTTTAGCTTGCCCTGATTGTTTCTTGTCTGGAAACCAGTATTGAAAAGCTCTAAAATCATAACAGTAAATAAAGACAACACTCAAAAACAGGAGAATTCCAGACAAGAAACAATCAGGGCCAGCTATTCACCTCCCAACAAAGGATTCTCCCAGGCAGTAAGAAGCCAGTCCTTGAAACTGCTGGGCCATTAAATGCTAATCAAGGTGGGCAATTGAAACATTCACACCTACCTCAAACAGACAAGAGTTCTTTCTCCCACCCTGGATGTTCCACAGATATATATACCAAACTTGCCTAGTTTCCAGCAGACCTCACAACCTCTGAGGATGCCTGCCATATGTGTGGGTGAAACGTCAGGAGAGAATGCTTCTGGAACATGGACAGACAGTCCAGAAAAATCACAAAAACCCATTATTATTATTATTATTA